CCACTGATGTTTTTAATTTGCTGATTAATCTAATAAAATATTGCAAAAATGATATACTTGCAATATTAATTGTTTCTGGTTCTGAAATCAGATAAATCAACAAAGCCTAGTTAAAATTATTTATAGAAAGTAAAGTTAGTTAATGTAAAAAATAGTCATTAAAATTCGTAACAGCGTGCACACATCAGGTAATAAAAATTCGACATTTTTATGCCATTTTATTTTAGTTGCCATTTCGTTAAAACAAACATTAAAAAAAGTACCTCTAACATAATTTTTTCGCTCCACTTTAACGTTATACCCTGTGACATTTATTTGATCTAATCTACGCTCACAATTCAATTTATCATGGTCATTCCTGTAATTTTTTAATAAAACTATCGTGTTCTTGACCTTGTCAGCAATTTTTAAATAAAATTATCTTCCCTATTAAATTAGGACAAGTTCTGTTGTTTTTTTTTTTTCAAATATATTGTATCCAATTTTTCGCGAGATAAAATGTCTCATGTGTGGGTGTGAATAATGACATGATGAAACTGGAACAGTATGTAGATCTCGTAATTATTTGTTACAAGGTAAGTATTCGATTTTCTGCATAAAATTGTTGTGACTCGTGCCTTGTTAATTCTGTTTTACTAATTAAAATATTTTTCGAACACGCACCGTTTTGTACAAGTAATAAAAATTTAATTGTCCAATCATTGAGTGATTATTATTACTCACAGATTACAACAAATCGGTTTTTCTAAATGAAATTAACAGCAATATAGCAGCAAGAATTCGTCTTCATCAGTTATTTATAAAATGTTTTGACGCATTCTGCTATTAATTTATTAGCACGGTTTACACCCGCGCTTGACATAAACCATTACTTACAGTTTACTGTATATTATTTTTTAGCTTTCATCTTCCGGCAATTTTCAACCCACATTATATGCATTTGCTTAACAACAAAATAACTGACGTTAATAAGAAAAAAATCAATAAATCGTTGTTAACAATTTTATTTATGATTTATTAAGTTTTCGAGTAAAATTTTCCAGCAAGTTCAAATGTATTTCTCTCAAGGTTACTTTCAATATTGTTAATAAATGCGTATTCAGATCGCTCTCAATTACAAATAATAATTATGTACTTCATTAGAAAATGAAGGAATGTTGGTTACATGGTGCCAGACTTCTAGTCTCGTCTCATCATAAGCTATTACTGAATTATGACCTCAAATAAAGCAAATAATTTCATAATTAGGACTAATAAGATTAATCGTTTAAGCTTTTATTAAATTTGAGAATACTTTACAAGAAATTACAAGTATTTGAAACCTTATACCTTATAATAACAATGCTGCATTTCAGTGGATTTCAAAGAATTATATACTAACCAAAAACAATTAGGAAAATATTGACAATTAAAAAATATCGAACTACAAATTAAATTAACTATTAAAGAAAACATGACAAACATGAAAGAATGTACAAAATTATTAGAAAAAGTTGTGATATTGTCATTCTTATAGTGAGAATGCGTTAATTAAAAAATATATTACTTGGTGACCAGTATAATGATTTATATTTACCCACTGTTGACATTCATAAATTTGTATTAATTAAAGAGGCCTAGTTGACGAATTTTCAACAAGTGTTTTTTTTCCTCAGAAGTCTTAATTAAAAATTAAATTGTAAAAATTAGTTTTCACATATTATAGTTATTCAGACATAGCTGACTCACTCTATAAAAACACTAAAGAATTAAAGACTTTTTTTTATATTTGCGACTGAACGTATTATAACAAAAGTTACGATTTTAGTAAAACACAGAAGTCAGTTGTGTTTGTAATTTAAAATTTAAAGTAAGAGTAATAAAAAACAAAGAAAAAAAATTATAACTGAACTTTTAAATTGCACATAAATTAAGCCAACTTATTTTAGAGAATCTTAATCCTAGTATTTCCATACTTCTAAATGTAATATTTTACCAATAATAGAAACTTGTATCAATCATTAATAATGACACTATTTACATAAATAGTAATATTGACATACTAAGGAAATAAGTATGTATAATAATTACAAGTACATAATTACTTAATATAAATTTCATACAATTATCATAAATATGACGTAATTAGTAAGTAATAGATAAATGTCATAATATTATCAAATAATTGTATCAATTGCTATATTATCGATAAATTATCAATCTTCTTTGTTTTGTTTCTAGCAAGCATCTAAAAATAACGATTTTGTAATTAACCGAAACGAACTCATTGAACTTGAATCGATTGTTAAGCTAGACGTTATAAAATGTTATACCTATGTGGAGAATATTTCTGAACGTAAAACTTTCAATTTCATCGTATTTTCATTATTAATTTTTTTGAAAGAAAAAGGAACTACATATTTACGAGGATTGTCTTTTATATTTCGGGAATAAAAAACAAAGAGAAAAAATTAGCCATCGTAGATAGCTTTATTATTTTTCAATATATTCTTCCTAAAGATAAATACACTTCTGCATACGCTTGAACCAATTTTTAAACCACTTTTTCCACTCTGACTGAAGTACTTCCAAAACATGCATTTTGGACGCATCAAGCGACATACTCATTAAATCCATAATTTGTCACCTGTTATATTATGAAAGCTTTTATTTTGAAAAATCGACACGGCCGTTTTTTTGAGCGGTTGCCAAATTATGTGAAATCCAGCACATAAAAATTTTTGACGGCCAACTGTTCACGCAATATTGAATGTATTATTCTAGTCCCACCGATATCCAAAGATGCCTCAATCTCACAGTATGTTACATGACGATATTGCAATATCATTTCACGCACAGAATCAACGTTTTTGAAATAACAACTGATTTTGGACAATCTTCACGAAATTCTTCAATGAGCAAACCACGACCACAATTGAATTTGATATATTACAAATATACAATAATTTTTTATGGTTCTTCAGCGTCAAAATTCGAATTAAGTCCATTGATGCACTGTTGTTAAAATAATTCACGTTGATAACTCAATTTTTTGGCAACATGAAATTTTTAAGGCACTGTAAACAACACCACTGAGCACCACCACCAAGATTGCCGATTCCCGACATACAGGCTGCACCAGAACTCGCGCCCCAGAGAAAAATTTCAAGTAAGATAAGATACCAGAAACATGGAAAAAATGTTTAAAAAATTCTATGTCAAAAAATTTTGACATTTGACTTTTTTTATGTTTATTTAATGATACTGATGACCTTGTATATGTTTTTTTATAATTATTTAATAAAGATACCAAAATTTTGCCAATAAAAGCCACAAGTAACATTAAACAGAGTTACAATTTAGGATACAGCTTTCTTGTTTCCTCTTCTAATAGCCAGTAGTAAAAAAACTTGGAAAATTATTTTTCCAACAGAAATAAATGGAGTCAAATTTAAACTCTCATAACTTCGAAATTTTTATAGGTAGAATTTTTTTAACATTTTTTCTGGGGCGCGAGTTCTGGCGCATCCTGTATAAAACACAACCCTCGTATTTTTCAAATAAATTTTAAAAGTAAATCAACTGCTGTTCATCTGATGTATACAACGTGATTTCCGATTAGAATACTCCACTCACATTTTTTTCTTTCGGAAATCTTAAAGGTGCTCTTTGAGGAATTTATTTTTTTTACAAAATTGTAAATTCAAAAAGATGCATTTTAGCACTAAATATTTGCTAAAATTGTTCTTTACTTTTTTGTTTTTTCCTTTTAACCAAGGTTAATTTGTCTTTCTCGACTTGATAAAAGACTAAGAAAACGACTAAATCTATTATGGCTGTCAAAATTTTTTAGTTTTGAAGCAGTGTCGAAGTTTCATACTCTTGATTTCACCAAGACTAGGCTACAGAAGTGAAATAAATAATTTTCATTGCTAATAAATCATGCAAATGTCCAATTAAGATCATTGTTTCGAATCAAACTGAAATTTTTCAACCCAGAAGCACCATTTATCGCCACGAATCCAAGGTTCTCATCGACATC